TCTGCATTTGCTGCTTTAAAGTGCCTTAGATTTTGTGTTACTTATTTATCTACTTTCTATTTCATTTGTTTTGTGTGGCATTCATGTGGATGGCAAAGTAAGAATTTCATTGTACAGGAAAACACGTTTCCTAACTGTGCATATGACGGTAAACACTTTGACTTGAAACACACTGTAGATATGAGCTTTGATGGAGCTAACCCCCCACCCCCCTTCCAGTGCTTCTCCTTTTGGTTTTAAAATTCAACTTCCGCTAACTGAACCAAGCTGACCACAGGATGGATCAGTGACTAACATGTAAATCAATTTTTGGAAGGTGGATGGTTTTTCTTTTCATGGAGCTAGGCGAAATGTTCCCTCGTGCTTCCAGTATTTATGCTAAGCTGGGGCTAAACACATCCTGGACCTACCTCACAGCCTTGTCCTCGTACCTGTACAGGGTCTCCAGCTCTGGCTCTTCACTGTAGTGGTGAGCAGCACCCAGGTGAGCAGCTGGCAGCACCACGCCAACATCACGCCTGCGTACCAACAACAGTGTGGGTTTGATTCCTCCTCAGTGACCTGCTTCTTGACCTGAATCACCCACCATCGTTTTCAGTTGGACTGGTAACTAACAGATGGCTTGAAGAAGATCATCAGGCCAAAATCTGATATGTTTCTATTGAAACATCTGTTTTGAAAAAAAGAATATTAATGAGAACATTCCAATTTTTATGCTGGGTTTGTTTTATTGATAACATGAGACCAAGTTGTTTTTAGTTTTCATTGTTTGTGTGTGGACATGAGGAAGTCTACTTAACACTAAAAATAAATACTAAAAAATAAGCTTCATAGTTTCATTCTGCACAAATTAGGATTTGTCAAACACCAACATGCAAAAGCTTTCCTGTTTTCTGTTCTTCCTGACTCACACCTTTCAAACTACAGCCAATTTTTAATGAGAATACATCAAAAATTTGTTTTTCTTATTAGTCTCTGGACCAGCCTAGAAATATGTCTGACAGGACTTTTTTTTCTGCAGTGTACAAAATGAAACCAGACTACATATGAACATAAACATAATTCATTACAATCACCTTTAAGGTTTCCAGTTCACATCCACAGGTTCAGTTTCAGCCTTCCTGCTTGTGTTCTGTGTGGACTACAGCAATATAACCTCCTGGTCCAGTTTCTGTTGGAAAGACAAAGTTCATCAAACCTAAGGAGAAACAATTTCAAACCTCTCAAATTGTTTGATTGTTTTACTTCAGTTTTCATTTCTGCCTTGGACATTGTGCCAGAAATCACCAGGAGCTGGGCCTGTGTGTCTGCAGCAGCTGGACTGTAGCAATACGAACTGAATGTAGTCAGCCTATCTGACAAACAGTGTGTGTGTTAATAAAAACTGTGACAAAATAAAGTTGTCAGCCTGTTTTCCTGTGAAGACAAAAATGATGTCATGACACAACTGTCGCTAAATCTCCATACAACACTGTTTTATGACAAAATAGATTTTACTGACTAAAACTAAAATGTTTAGGATTTTCCAGGACTAAGATGAGACTCAAATGTCCATAGTGGATAAAAACATAACTTTCAGTGAAAAGGATGGGGTTGACTAAATGTCACTAAAACCAAAATGGACCTTTGCTTTCAGGACTGAGACTCAAAAAGAAACATTTCTCTTTAAAACATCAGCTAAACCGATCAGGTGTTTCCCATCATGGGGGAGGGGTAAATAGGCTTACAAATACTTATACTGTACAGTCAAACCTGGACTCCACAGGAGAGGGTCATGTTTTCAGTGTTAATCCAAAGGAGGCTTTACATGTTTCACGGGATTTTATGGGGCTTCTCCTACAGGCTAAAATGTAACACCGCTGTAACAGTGTGACCTGCTGGCAGGTATCTGGTTCAACACCAAGAGCTTTAAGGTGGTCCTCATGCACAAACTATTGACTCGCTTCATCAGAGACACAGTGAAGGAGTCTTGATAATATTATGGCTTTAGATGAGAACATGGAGTTTATCTTAAACTCACTATGATTTGTTGGTGTAATTAGCATAATTTAATCTTCACAGAAGTTATTTACATACAAACAAGTAAATAAAAGCTTGTGTAAATCAAAGCAAATGCAGTTTGAGACACTTCACGGAGCTCTGAGTTTCTGACTAGTCAACATGAACAGCACTGATTGTGAAATTACGCTAAGACTTTAGATGATTAACTGCAGAACTGACTGCTGGAAACTGTTAATGCATTTAAAGCAGCTTTGTGGGAGATTTAAAGATCAGGTTATGATTTTGACTGAAAACCTCACCATTCATGGTCTGACCACTTTCATTGGTGATCTCTGACATAACAGAGGTAACTTCGTCTGGGTGACACGGAACAGAATTTAGCCTGATAACTGCATGTGAGCCTGCTTCACTTCAACCACTCTGGGAAAAGTAGTACCTTGTGTGTCCCAGGGTTTTTATACATTACTGCTGGTCCCGCTGGGTCAAACCAGCCCACTGTCTCGGACGGGTTTAGAGGTTTGAAATGATGCATGGTTGCAGCTGTAGTTGACAGGAAACCAAGGTGGACGGACTCCTTCCAGGTACACCTCAGCTCACAGACACCTCATTATTGAAATTTTGGTTTTATCTTCTGAGGGTCACCAGGATCTGAAGCTAATGTTTGGTTTCTAGTTAAAAATGTCAAATCAAACCTGGGTCACAGGTCAGAGGTTAATCCAGCCTGCTGCAGTCCCAGTCCTGGATCAGGCTGACTCATGGCAGAACTCGGACATGTCGGATAGTCCAGCATCAGCAGACACTTCAGAGATGCCTTCGAGGAGCTGTCAGTCTTTGTGTCATTGTGGAAAGCCTTTGTGTCCTTCTGAATCCTCCTGATCTGTTGAACACAGTCCAGGTCTAAATAAACTGCTGCAGAAGTCAGGATCTCAGTGATTTCACAAACTCTTCTTTACTTTCATGCCTGAAAAACAAATAAAAGAAAGGTGTCGTCCACTTCTGCGTCCTTCATTTGCTCTTGAATCAAATTTATTGAACTCCCACCAAATGTTAAGTTTTGGTCCTTAAAACCAAAATAAGAACACTTTACAGATTTTATCTCTGCTGTCCTTTTTTTCCAAGCAACTTTCCTTATTCTTTAAATGCAGTGGAAATTCAATCTGCCGCCTCTGAAACTGTAAAGACAAGCTGAGCAGGGAGAGCTCCACCGGTTGCTCCCATTGCTTGTGATCCTACAAGTTCTTTGAAGATAAAAACATTCTCTAAAAGACACTTGGTGGCCCATTTCACTCGGTGCACCAATTCTCCACCGTCCTCTCCTTAAAACCTCTATTTGTCTTGTGATTTAAATCATCCAGGACTTTTGCTTTTCCTCCCATAAAATGCTCAGAATAAGAAACAACCCTAAGCACTCTCAGATAGGAACCTTTAAACAGCTGTAGACTGACTGGATACGGTTTCAGGTTCAGGTGAGACCTGCTCAAGAGAGAGGGAGAGTTTACCTGGCTCACTTGCCCAACATTTAAATATAAAAGACTGGGAGGAGCTGAGACAGACAGAGAGAGGGGAGAGAGGGAGAGAGGGAGAGAGAAAGAGAGAGAGAGAGAGAGAAAGAGGCCTCCTGTTGGACTCCAGAAAGGGTCCTGAAATACAAGAACAATGTCAATATTTGCTTTAGTCTTTGCTCATTTATTTATTCATTTTCTCACTTTTCACAACACAACAAACCAAATGTTAGCAAAAGCCCAAATATCATTTAAACAGCAGTGTTCAATCTGAGGCCAACTGTGGTTTGTCTGGTCGGAGCTGAACAAGAGGCACCATCGTCAGATGACGCGTGGACAGGAAACATGGGGCCCCGTCACACGCTGTGCTTTAGTGAGGGAATAGCCTGTTCAGTATTTCACTTATGAAAACTGCTGGCAAATCTACCAAGACCTGGCCGTCCCTCTAAACTTTCAGCTCATACAAGGAGAAGACTGATCAGAGATGCAGCCAAGAGGCCCATGATCACTCTGGATGAACTGCAGAGATCTACAGCTGAGGTGGGAGACTCTGTCCATAGGACAACAATCAGTCGTATACTGCACAAATCTGGCCTTTATGGAAGAGTGGCAAGAAGAAAGCCATTTCTTAAAGATATCCATAAAAAGTGTTGTTTAAAGTTTGCCACAAGCCACCTGGGAGACACACCAAACATGTGGAAGAAGGTGCTCTGGTCAGATGAAACCAAAATCGAACTTTTTGGCAACAATGCAAAACGTTATGTTTGGCGTAAAAGCAACACAGCTCATCACCCTGAACACATCATCCCCACTGTCAAACATGGTGGTGGCAGCATCATGGTTTGGGCCTGCTTTTCTTCAGCAGGGACAGGGAAGATGGTTAGAATTGATGGGAAGATGGATGGAGCCAAATGCAGGACCATTCTGGAAGGAAACCTGATGGAGTCTGCAACAGACCTGAGACTGGGACGGAGATTTGTCTTCCAACAAGACACTGATCCAAAACATAAAGCAAAATCTACAATGGAATGGTTCACAAATAAACATATCCAGGTGTTAGAATGGCCAAGTCAAAGTCCAGACCTGAATCCAATTGAGAATCTGTGGAAAGAACTGAAAACTGCTGTTCACAAACGCTCTCCATCCAACCTCACTGAGCTTGAGCTGTTTTGCAAGGAGGAATGGGCAAAAATTTCAGTCTCTTGATGTGCAAAACTGTTAGAGACATACCCCAAGCGACTTACAGCTGTAATCGCAGCAAAAGGTGGCGCTACAAAGTATTAACTTAAGGGGGCTGAATAATTTTGCACGCCCAATTTTTCAGTTTTTTATTTGTTAAAAAAGTTTGACATATCCAATAAATTTCGTTCCACTTCATGATTGTGTCCCACTTGTTGTTGATTCTTCGCAAAAAATTACAGTTTTATATCTTTATGTTTGAAGCCTGAAATGTGGCAAAAGGTCGCAAAGTTCAAGGGGGCCGAATACTTTCGCAAGGCACTGTATAATAACTATTAAATAAATGCAACGCAACATCTCCCTGAAGTACAAGTATCCCACTTCAGTGCAGTGTGTGACAGGGGTGTTTACTCAGACCGGCTCTGATCTGATGTGTAGGAGCCCTGTAAAGCCAAATAATCCAGGTTTAAATCTGGACCTGGCTCCGGGCCAGCAGGCGGAGACACACAGAGACCTGCTCTGAGCAAGAATCAGCTGAATCTCACTGAAGCCAACTTGCTTCTTTCCTTAAACCTGCCATCTCCTTGGCCCAGAGGGTCTAGTGAGACTTAAAACAATGTGACACCATAAACCACTCCTCACCGCTCCCTGCCCCTCCCATGACACCCTGTTTCCTTAAGATACAACATGAACGAAGGATGCCTGGTTGGTACAAACCATACAAATGGCAGAAATGGTTTTAGGCACTAAAAGCCAGGATGTTTTCAGAAATAATATCATGAACAGCTTTTATTTATAATTCATCTCATGTTTGTTAGAGTTCAAACCACTGGAATAAAAACAAACTCCTCACAGGCATGAACCACTGATGCTACAAGATACTACCACTCTGTCCAACTCACCTGCCTAATAAAACAAGAGGGTCCAATGCAAAGGCAAACAGCGAGAGCAGGCGGCAGAGCAGGAGCAGGAAAGCCGGCAGCCCCGGCCTCGCAGCTGACAGTACGTGATGCTGGTGCTGCTTTGATGCCACTGTGTTGTTGTTGAGGCAGGTTCAGACAGGACACTGCTGGAGTCGCCCTCTGTCATTCCCTCGGCTCTCTTCTCTGATGATCCCCCACTGCAGAAGCAGGCGGAGCTGAAACTCCTGTGACAGTTTGAACCAAAGGACAAACACTTCACCTCCTCCTGTTTTTTTTTTTTTTTTTTATCCTTACTGCTCCTCCAGCAGGTGTGAAACTGAGGCAGCGCGGCTCAGATTTTACTCTGTGTTATTCTGCAGGGTCTGCGTTTGTTGTGCATCAGCATATGATATTCCATACTCTTACAGCTCTACTCTCATTTAAGTCTTGTTAAACTAGCTGATCCCAAATCGAATTATTCCTAGATACTCCATATGTACACACTGAGCAGGA